ATTCAGAAAGCATTCAGGTCATTATTGTGTCCCAGGATAATTCTCACAAACTTGGATTGTCAAAGTGCAAGAATGGACTTCTAGACAAGATGGTGGTTGTCCGAGAGTCTGGGAACTGGCACCAGGCAAACTGCTCAGCCGTTACCTCGCTTACCCAACCTAAACTCCCTCCCTGTTTCAGGAACTGTTTGCCCCAAACTCATAGATCAACTCCTGTCCCATTCTCCTGTCCTAGTCCAGGAACTGTTTGCTCCAGGACAATAGACTCACATTCCAGGGGCCCCCATGCGTAGCCCCTCAGGACCTAACCCTAACAACAAGTTCCCTCTGCCACAGGCGCAGATATAAAAATCACAAACCCCAGCATCGGGCGCGGCTTCTCGGACTCGACCCCCCGAGTCTGTGAACCCGCCCGGAGTGTACCCAATAAAGCCTGATTTCTGCTTATTCGGCTGTTTGGCTCTCTGGTTTCTTCCCACCTCCCACCGGCGGCACCTGGCTACCTTACAGTGGTGGAGGTAAATGCGGCATCGCGTCCTCCCACAATCACATCAAAGTTACAACTAAACTACAGAATAACTATCATTCAAAACCACCTGGAATCGAGCTGAAAGGAAGTCCTACAACTACGTAATTAAAAAGCAGCCATATCAAGACTAGTAGGAGGCGTGAAGGCAGACAGGCTGGTCCCATACCCACATGTGGCAGATAAAAATCAGGAGGGACACCTCGGCTGGGAAGGTCCACCCTGAGGACTGACGGGTCCCCGTACCACACCAGGCATCCTGCTTAGGGTTCCAGTGCCAGGAAGAGAAGTCCCCATAACTTCTGCCTGGACAAACTAGCGGAAACTGAGGCCCAGGGAAGCTGACGCGGCTGGAGCCCCAGGCAGCTCCTTAAAGGGCCCGCGCACGGACTTATCAAACTCTCTCCCTCTAAGCTTGGAGGGGAGGCAGCTCAAGGGGTGCCAGAGACATACAGGGAAGAACTCAGCTGTTTGGCACTGGAGCGAGGGCTGGAGAGGGGGCTTTCTCCTAGACAGACGTGCTGTCAGAGGCCTTTGTTCCTTTGGTGAGCCCTTCCCTGGGGCGGCAGACAGCCACCATATCTGGGACTCCAGCAACCTGGCTCACACTGTTTGCCCCACCCTGGTGATTCCCTGAGGCCCTGCCCCACCCAACTTTCAGGCCCACCCAAGCTTAACCATAGGATTGGCCTGTCTTGGATCCTGCTTCAGGTTTTCCTAAATTCTTTCAAACAAGCAACATCTGGTCTCAGCAAGCCCCATACCTCCCGTTAAGTAATACATAGAAACAAACACAGGGAGGCAGCCAAAATGAGGAGACAAAGAAACAGGCCCCAAATGAAAGAACAGAAAAAATCTCCAGGAAAAGAACTAAGCGAAATGGAGATAAGCAACCTAACAGATGCTGAGTTCAAAATACTGCTTATAAGGATGCTCAATGAACTTAGTGAGAACCTCAGTGAACTTAGTGAGGGCCTCAAGAGCATAAAAAAGGACCAGTCAGAAATCATGGATGCACAGTTAGAATTGAAGGAGGCATTAACTGAAATAAATAATAATTTACACAGATTCAAGAGTAGAGTACGTAAATTCAAGGAGTAAACCATCGACTTGGAATATAAGGAAGCAAAAAATGCCCAATCAGAACAGCTCAAGAAAAAGGAATCCAAAAAAATGAGGATAGTGTAAGGAGCCTCTGGGACAACATCAAGCGTGCCAACATTCGCATTTTGGGGGTGCCAGAAGGAGAAGAGCGAGAACAAGAAATCGAAAACCTATTTGAAACAATAATGGCAGAAAACATCCCTAACTTGGTGAAGGAAACAGACATACAAGTCCAGGAAGCACAGAGAGTCCCAAACAAGATGAACCCCAAGAGGCCCACACCAAGACACATCATCATCAAAATGCAAAAGCTTCAAGACAAAGTGAGAATCTTAAAAGCAGCAAGAGAAAGGCAGCTAGTTACCTACAAGGGAGTTCCCATTAGGCTGTCAGCTGATTGCTCAAAAGAAACTTTGCAGGCCAGAAGGGAGTGGCAAGAAATATTCAGAGTGATGAAAACCAAGAACCTACAACCAAGATTACTCTATCCTGCAAAGCTGTCATTTAGAATCGATGGCCATATAAAGACTTTCCCAGACAAGAAAAAGCTAAAGGAGTTCATCACCACCAAACCATTATTATATGAAATGATGAAGGATGTTTTTGAAGAAAAAGATAAAATATGTAAACAAACAAAATGGCAATGAATGCATATCGACCGACAATGGAATCTACAAACAAAATGAACAGGTAGAACAGAAACATTCTCATAGATACAGAGAACATTTTGTTGACTGCCAGATGGGAGAGGGGTTAGGAGAATGGGTGAAAAAGGTGAAGGGGTTAAGAAGTACAAATTCATTGCTAGACTGACAAACCTCAAAGAGAAGGGGGTTGGGGGGGTGAGAAGAAATAAACCAAAGAACTTATATGCATAACCAATGGACACAGACAACAGTGTGGGAAAAGGCGGGTGTGGGGAGGAGGGGGTCAATGGGGGAAAAATGAGAAACATCTGTAATACATTCAACAATAAAGATTAAAAAAAAAAAGTGCAAGAATGCACACTAACAGATATATCCAGGACATTGTGAGAAACTAATTAGGGTTTATTATAAAACTAGATATTCATTTAAACCTAAGAAATAAAGTGAGTATATTTCTCTTTGGGAAAATATTCACCTAATTCAACAGGAGTATATATATATATTTTTAAAATCTTTATTGTTGGATGTAAAATGTACTACAGATGTTCCACATTTTTCCCCCATTGACCCCCTCCTCCCCACTTCTGCCCCCCTCCCACTATTTCCCACACTATTGTCTATGTCCATTGGTTATGCATATAAGTTCTTTGGTTTATTTCTCCCCCCCCCCCAACCCCTTTCCCTTTGAGGTTTGTCAGTCTAGCAATGAATTTGTACTTCTTAATCCCTTCACCTTTTTCACCCATTCCCTCAACCCCCCTCCCAACTGGCAACCAACAAAATGTTCTCTGTATCTATGAGAATGTTTCTGTTCTACCTGTTCATTTTGTTTGTAGATTCCATTGTCGGTAGATACGCATTCATTGCCATTTTGTTTGTTCATACATTTTATCTTTTTCTTCAAAAAGACCCTTCATCATTTCATATAATAACGGTTTGGTGGTGATGAACTCCTTTAAATTTTTCTTGTCTGGGAAAGTTTTTATATGTCCATCGATTCTAAATGACAGCTTTGCAGGATAGAGTAATCTTAGTTTAGGTTCTTGGTTTTCATCACTCTGAATATTTCTTGCCACTCCCTTCTGGCCTGCAAAGTTTCTTTTGAGCAATCAGCTGACAGCCTAATGGGAACTCCCTTGTAGGTAACTAGCTGCCTTTCTCTTGCTGCTTTTAAGATTCTCACTTTGTCTTGAAGCTTTTGCATTTTGATGATGATGTGTCTTGGTGTGGGCCTCTTGGGGTTCATCTTGTTTGGGACTCTCTGTGCTTCCTGGACTTGTATGTCTGTTTCCTTCCCCAAGTTAGGGATGTTTTCTGCCATTATTGTTCCAAACAGGTTTTCGATTTCTTGTTCTCTCTCTTCTCCTTCTGGCACCCCCAAGATGCGAATGTTGGCACGCTTGAAGTTGTCCCAGAGGCTCCTTACACTGTCCTCATTTTTTTGGATTCCTTTTTCTTGAGCTGTTCTGATTGGGCATTTTTTGCTTCCTTATATTCCAAGTCGATGGTTTACTCCTTGGATTTACGTACTCTATTATTGAAGTTGTGTAAATTATTCTTTATTTCAGTTAATGCCTCCTTCAATTCTAACTGTGCATCCATGATTTCTGACTGGTCCTTTTTTATGCTCTTGAGGCCCTCACTAAGTTCACTGAGGTTCTCACTAAGTTCATTGAGCATCCTTATAAGCAGTATTTTGAACTCAGCATCTGTTAGGTTGCTTATCTCCATTTCGCTTAGTTCTTTTATTGGGGTTTTGTTCTGTTCTTTCATTTGGGACCTGTTTCTTTGTCTCCTCATTTTGGCTGCCTCCCTGTGTTTGTTTCTATGTATTACTTAACGAGAGGTATGGGGCTCGCTGAGACCAGATGCTGCTCGTTTGAAAGAACTTAGGAAAAACCTGAAGCAGGATCCAAGACAGGCCAATCCTATGGTTAAGCAAGTGGCAACAGCTTGGGTGGGCTTGAAAGTTGGGTGGGGTGGAGTGGGGCCTCAAGGGGTAACCAGGGCGGGGCTACCAGTGTGAACCAGGTTGCTGGAGTCCCAGATATGGCAACTGTCTGCCGCCCCAGGGAAGGGCTCACCAAAGAACAGTTTGTCCCCGAGAAAGCCCCCTCTCCAGCCCTCGCTCCAGTGCCAAACAGCTCAGTTCTTCCCTGTATGACTCTGGTGCCCCTCGAGCTGCCTCCCCTCCGAGCTTAGAGGGAGAGAGTCCGATAAGTCCGTGCGCGGGCCCTTCAAGGAGCTGCCTGAGGCTCCAGCCACGTCAGCTTCCCTGAGCCTCAGTTCCCGCTGGTTTTTCCAGCCAGAAGTTTTGGGGATTCTCTTCCTGGCACTGGAACCCTGAGCGGGGCACCTAGTGTGGGACGGGGACTCCTCAGTCCTCAGGAAGGACCTTCCCAGCCTAGGGAGCCTCCTGATTTTTATCCGCCACACTTGGGTGTGGGACCAGCTCGTTGCGCCGCAGCCGCCGCCGCCCCTCCTACCAGTCTTGATGTGGCTGCAGCTTTAATTTCGTAGTTGTAGGACTTCCATTCAGCCTGATTTGAGGCGGTTTTGAATGATGGTTGTTCTGTAGTTTAGTTGTAACTTTGATGTGGTTGTGGGAGGATGCGATACCGCGTTTACCTACGCCGCCATCTTGACCGGAAGTCGCCAACAGGAGTATATCTTGAAGGACATCAAGAGGATGCAGGCTTAGAGTAAATCAAAATTCCACTTACCTCTGACTAATAATGTCACTGAATGTTTGTGGGTTACTTTATATTCTTCTTTTTTCATCTGGATGATGCAGGAGTACTCGCCGCTGTCAGACAGGCGAAGGCCCAAGATCACAATGGAAGAGTTATCAATGGTGTCATAGATGGTGCGGTTCTTATACTTGTGCCACACATCTGTCTTTCCGTGTATGACCGACAGCACCATTTCATTATTTTTTTGCCAGTAGATGCGAGCATTTGTTAGTTCTCCAGCGGAAATGTTGTAACCACAGGGTAGATGTGCCTTGTCATTCACCAATTTGGTCACCTGGGTACCTATGGAGAGGCAAATAGAACAAGATTTTATATATTTATTAGATACAGATTCCTGCATGAGCATGAATTCAGAGTTGGCAGGACCAGAACTCACAGTGTTGTGTCGAGTGAATAAGCATAATCAAAGAATTCAGTTTGATTTTGATTTTTTTTTTTTTTTTTTTGGTTCTCAGTGCTGTGTTTTTTCCTTCATTTTTAAATTGGGGTTAAAAATATAACATAAAATTTGCCGTCTTAACTATTTTTAAGGGTACAGTTCAGTAGTGTTAAGTATATTCACATTGTTGTGAAACAGATCTCCAGAACTTTTTCATCTTACAAATCTGGCACTCTGTCCATACATATTAAACAATGCATTCCACCCCACCTCACCCCCCACATCCCCCGGATCCCTGATAACTGCCACACAGCTTTATGGTTCTATGAAATTGGCTACTTTAGATACCGCATATAAATGGTATCATGTAGTATTTGTCTTTATTATTATTATTATTGATTTAAGAGAGAAAAAAGGTGTGGAGACTAGAGTTAGCAGGACTGACTCCATCTTGAGTTTGAGCCTTATTGTCTGAACACATGAAAGATCTGGGCTGCCACCCAAGGGAGGCAAACAACAGGTGCAGGTGATAAGGATGACTAGGCACCTCTGAGGACATTGCCAGATATTTTGATTCAGGACTTGGAGAACTAATCTCAGGAAACCACAAGCAAATCTAACAAGTACAAAAGAAGGGACATGCCTCCACAAGAAGGATAAAAATGAAACTAGAACAATGACACTTGCTATTCACCCTTCTGTGAATGAGCTGAGCTGACCGCTCATGTGTCCAGCTTGGTGGCTGTTGAGTATTCCTGGGCCTTGCTGTCTCAAGCTGGTCTCGCAGTTTTCCTTGCAAGATGCGAGCCGTTAGTGGCTGCCACTTCCAGGTCTCCAACCGGACGCTGGCACTGCTTTGCTCCATGAGTAGCCCGGGCCAGAGTACATTTGAGACTCTTGGACTTTCAGTTCATTAACCCTGAATCTGAAGTGTGAAATCTGTTTTGATGTGTTGATGACTGAGTGACCTTGCAGGTAATAAAAACTAAGTTGACAGCAGAATCACCTAGGTTGGCTCACTGTTATTACTTGGTGTCCAGATGACCTCACTCCCTTAGGGGACACGACCTAAGGCAGAGGTGGGGAATGTCTGACCCGTGGTCTGTATAAGGCTGGTGAAATCATTTGGTCTGGCCCTGCCAAGGCAACCACAGGCAGGACTAGAAATTCAATAAATCTAGGAGCTTTTTTCATAGCAACATAAATTTACATTCAGTGAATCATAATAATAACGTAAATTTTGAGGGACAAGCAAGGAACATCCATTATGGGATAGATAGGACACATACGAGTACACGATGGGACAGACATGTATGCTTCTCCTTGGCTATCTGAGGCCTGTCTGCCTGTATTGCGGTGACTCAGAGGACAATCAGTGCCAGGCAGGCTGGGAGTGTACACGATGCAGAAGTGTTAACACACTGTGGTGAAACTGCGGTGATCTGGTGATGATCAGACGAGATGCGATGAGATGATTGCTCCTGACGTTGATGACCTTGCCTCTGATGACTGACAATGATGTTGTTGACTTCTTTGTTGACACAGACGATAACTTCAATCCAATCTTTATCCACACATCTGCGATCAACAATCCTCACAAAAACTGGATCTCAGATGAAGATTAAGAAAATTACAGTACACAGAAAAGACCTCAAGAGTCGACGGTATTGCCATGGCCAGTTTGCTCGGCGGTTGAGCATCGGCCTGCGTACCAGAGTTCTGGGTTTGGTTCCCGCTAGGGGCACATACCACCCAAAAAAAAAAAAAAAAAGAGTCGATGATATTAACATTGGATATGTTCCAAATCCAAGACGCAGGATTAGAAAAGCGATCAAAGCAAAATAATCCTGTCACTGGTAACACACACTGGATAGTTATTAAAACTTAAGTGGCGTGACATCCTACAAATAGTGAAGGCATGGTCACTTCTATGCTATGCAGAGTCCCGCTAATTCCCACTCTTTCACAACTGCCCCCTCATAGCACCATGATTTGTCTTCCCACCAATATCACCCAGACCCCACAGAGCTCCTGGGGGAGGCCCTCCCTTTCCTTGGACAGCAGGATCTTGGGGCACTAGCACCTCTCTATCTCAACAGGCCTTCTCGAGGCCTCTATCAGACTGGATATGGCCCCACCTCAGCACTTGGGAAGAGAGTTATGTGACGGTGGGTATTTTCATAGCAGTGTGAGATAACTCAGAATCATCTAAGGCACCCCTTTTGGCAAGTGTGCTGAACACAGCCAGTCCCAGATTTAGGGAGTGTAACTGAAAGGAAGAAGAAATGAAAAGGTATACCTGAGGGGAGCATATCATAACTAAATAACCTGAACCTCTTTAACAAGAAATGCTTACTATGGATTCCTACTGACCTGAGTTTTAGTCCCAGCTCAGTCACTTGCAGATTAGTGTTTTCTCATCTGTAAAAAAGCTGTGACAGCTACCTTTCAGGGTCATTGTAAAATTAAATTAAATGACATAAATGAAAAAGTCCCTCCTACCCAGCAGGTCTTCTTTTTTTTAATCCTCACCCGAGGATATTTTTTCCATTTTTTTGTACAGATAGAGTGGGAGGGAGAGAGAGGAAGGGAGAGAGAGAGAGAAACATCGACGTGAAGGAACACATCGAGTGGCTGCCACCCGCACGACCAACCAAGGCCGGGGACAAACTGCAACCGAAGTACGTGCCCTTAGTGGGAACCGAACCCGGGTCTCTCCAGATTGCAGGCCGACGCTCTAACCGCTGAGCCAAACCGGCCAGGGCCCAGCAGGTCTTCTGTAAGGCTTTTCTTTTTTCTTTTCTCTTCCCTGCCTCTCATTCCAATTCCGACCCCCGGATCCCTTTCATCTCACTTAGGTGTATCAGACACACAGGACTTGCTATGTATTTTGCTGTGGGTGAGACAGACACCATGACAGAAAGCAGTTCACTCGGCTGGGGTTATAACTAATAGGATCTTTCCCACCCAAAAAAGAATCCAGGACTTCTAACATGATTTTGACATGCTGCAAAAAGAGAAATCTGAACTGAAAGTGAGCTAACTTTTAGAAATTAAATTTGTAGGGGTAACACGGGTTAATAGCATTATATAAATTTCAGGCGCACAACTTTATAATACGACATCTGTATACTCTAGTTTGCGCTCACCACCCAAAGTCTAGTTTCCTTTCATCACCATATACTTGGTCCCTTTCCGCCCTTTGTCACCCCCCTACCCTCTTTGTGTAACCCCCATTCTGTTGTTTATATTGTATCTGTGAGTTTTGTTTGTTTGGTCATTGTTCATTTATTGTTTTTGTTTTATATCCCACATATGACTTAAATAATACATTTCTTGTCCTTTTGCATCTGACTTATTTCACTTAGCCCAATAATCTCAAGACTCATCCATATTGTTGCAAATGGCAATATCTCATCTTTTTACGGCTAAGTAGCATTTCATTGTATATATGTTCCACATCTTCTTTTTTTGTTAATCCTCACCCAAGGATATTTTTCCATTGATTTTTTTGTTTTTTTATCCTCACCCGAGGACATTTTTCCATTTTTTATTCAGACAGTGCAAAAGGGGGAGAGAGGAAGAGAGAGAGAGAGAGAGAAATATTGACATGAAAGGGACACATTGAGTGGCTGCCACCTGCATGACCCAAACAGGGCTGGGGACAAACTGCAACCGAAGTACAAGCCCTTAGCGGGAACGGAACCCAGGTCTCTCTTGACCGCAGACCGATGCTCTAAACGCTGAGCCAAACCGGCCAGGGCTCCATTGATTTTTAGATAGAGTCGAAGGGAGGAAGGGGGAGAGAGAGAGAAACATCGATGTGAGAGAGACACATCGATTGCCTCCCGCATGACCCCAATTAGGGCTGAAGATTGGTCCTGCAACCCAGGTACATGCCCTTGACTGGTTATTGGTTAGAGCCATTGGCCCTTGACTGGAATCAAACCCAAGACCCTTTGTTTGTTGGCCAACACTCTAACTGCTGAGCCAAACTGGCCAGGGCTTCTACATCTTCTCTATCTAATTAACTCCTGAAGGTGTTTCCATGTCTTGACCATTGTAAATAAAGCTGCAATAAACATAGGGGTACAAATATCTTTACAAAAAAAGTGCTTTAAAATTGTTAGGGTAGATACTCAGAAGAGGGATTGCTGGATCCTTGGTAGCTCTTAGTTCTCTCTTCTTCCTCCTTGGTCATATTTAGGCTTCTATATTTGAGCTAGCTGATTCTCTCTTCCATGTGGTCTGCTCTATATCCAATGCTTTCTAATGCATTCCTTATTTCATTTATTGAGTTCTTCAGCTTCAGAATTTCTGTTTGGTTCTTTTTTATAATTGTAATTACTTTGGTAAAGTGTTCTTTTTGTTCATTAATTTTATTCCTGAGCTCATCCAAAGGCCTTTCTGAGTTTTCTTGTATTTCCATGAGTTTCTTGATGACTGCAATCTCAAATCCTGTCATTTAAATTGCAATCTTCCACGACTTTGAGTTTCTGGAGACTTTTCATTTTCTCTCTGTGCTCCCATGTTACCTTGCTTGTTCATAGTTCTTTATGGATTGTTTTAGGTCTGTACATTTGAGGAAATGAATGTTTTTCTTGTTCAGACATGTTTTGCGCTTAACAATTCAGTAGGTTGATACTTTCTTTTGTTTTCCAGTAGAGGGTGATATTGCACAAGTTTTTGTTTTCTCTCGCTTGGCATTGCTTAAATCGAGGAATATGCCACAGAACCACTGGAGCGGGGGTGTCCCCTCTGTGACCTACTCATCTCGGTTAAGGGGATATCACCTTGGTGGTGGAGAAATAGTTTTATTAGCTCCCAGCACTGCCTTCTCATTATTATTATTATTATTATTATTGTTATTATTATTATTTTTTAACCCTCCGAGGACATTTTTGCATTTATCTTCAGATAGAGTGGGAGGGAGAGACCGGGGGAAGAGAGAAACATCAATGTGAGAGAGACACATCAACTGGTTGCCACCCACACGACTCCACCTAAGCCGGGGACAAACTGCAACTGAGGTACATGCCCTTAGAGGGAACCAAACCTAGGTCTTTCTGGTCTGTGGGCTGATGCTCTAACCACTGAGCCAAACCGGCCAGGGCGCCTTCTCATCATTAATGGCAGCTGGCTCCATTGTGTTATTGGAGTTGTCTCCCCTACCTCTGCCAGTCTGTGGTGGTGAGTGGGGCAAGGGAGACAAGTCCCGACTGTGCAGCTCCTCCTTCCCACAGTCATGGCTGCCAGCACTGCTGTGCCGGTTCAGCATCCCAGCCACATCCACAGGGCTCTGCTGCAATGGGAAGGGGGAGGGGTCTATGCTCTCAGTGAGGGACACTGCCTCTGCCCCTCGTAGGCTCCAGGCTGTGGCCTGACTTCTCCACTACCACTGTGCTTGCTGGGGCCATGGTGGGTGCCGAACTGTGTTCTTTGGCCACCATCCCTGTCCTACCCCCCATTCCTGCCTCCCATACTCATTCCAGTAAACCCACCTTCAGATGCGTGGGTCTCTCAGGAGAGTGTGTGTGTTAAGCAAGGGAACCTTTGTTGAGTTATAGTTATGTGACTTGTAAGTTTAAGGGAGAAACAAAGAAGTCTTCTCACTGCCATGATGCTGATGTCAGTGTAAATTAGCTAATTTCAATGATGGTTTCAAAGGAATTTTTGTCCAGACATCTGAGAAGTGTAAGTGTCTCTAAAGGTCAGTGACACACTATGTAAGGTCCCCTGACAAGATGCCCATGTTGAGGAAGAACCGGACTAAAAAGAGGAACCAAAAATCTTCTGGGCATTTTGGAAATTCCCACCGGGACCCCTTCTAAACTTAGGTCCTTGTGCTAGAAACAACATTTTCATTAAGGCTCCCTGGTAATTGGTATGTAAAATGAAAAGTGTGCGCAGCACTGGTAAAAACCTTGTCACTGGCCTGCTTAAAACCCTTCCATGGTTTCCCAGTGCCCTCCATATAATAATCAGATTCCTGACTTTGGCCTTTAGACCCTTATGGAGCCTTGTCCCTGTCCTCCCAGCTCCTCACTCCTTCACCTCGCTCCTTGGTTTCTCTCACATGCTGTTCCTTCCATCTTCTCCCTAGTCCACTCTCACCAGTCTCTCCTCTGACCGGGAAAGACAGTGTGTGCTGGTCATACCTTCAATTGAGTGACTATTTGATGAATTTTCATTTTTTCCTTAAGGACCATAAATTCCACAAAAGCAAAAGCCATGTCGATTTTGTTAGTAACTTGTCCCCAAGACCCAGAAAAGTGTCTTGTACTTAGGAGATGCTCAATGTTTGTTGAATTAATAAATGGTTAAACAAGAGCAGGAACACATGTGCCAGATCCATTGTTACTTTGTGTCTTGGTCCATACAGTTGCCCCACGTGCAATTCTCACCCCATCACCCATCTTCCACCTGCCTGGCTGCCCCTGCCCATCCTGGTCCACCTTTCCCAGGTTTGGGCTCTTACAGTCAGAACCAGGCACTTCACTGCCCTTCCCTTGCTTGTGAGTTAGTTTTGCCTTATCCAACTAACATACTCAGATCTCTTTCAGGGCAAGAATCCCAGGCTTCGTTTTTAAGCATATATGGTGAGTGCTCGGACATAAGAAGTTCAGGGTTCATTTGTGACTCAGTACAGTAACAGTAAAATCTGGATGTAGCTATAGAATGGGGAGTTTCAACCGGTGTGTGGTTCAAAGAATTTTTAAAACATGCAAAATCTAACTATTTAGTCAGTGGCACTGACCTTTTTCCCCTTGGATTGTCAAATAAAAAAGTGACAACAGCCAACACAACAGTAGCCATCTGATGTGAACAAATCAAAATTATACCTATTTTTTTTTTTTTTGTCAGATCGGCAAAAAATATAATACGTTTTTTGGCATGCTGCAGAATTTTAAGGATTACATGTGCCATAAGATGAAAATGGTTGAAAATCATTGCTATAGAACACGGTGCTTTCCTAAACGTCTTTCTTTAGCTCAAAGATTATCTTCTATTTGCCTATGACTAATTTTCTGGTATAATTGCTAGAGCCTTGGTTTTGATCTTAATATGTTCTTTTTTTTTTGCTGCTACAATTTTTAATATACATTTTTTATTTTAGGAAATTTATTGTTAATGTTCTTTTTATATTTTCTCTTTTTAAAATCATTTCTCTTTCTCTCTGTCACACATACTCACACACGCCTGTATACATTTCCTTCTAAATTTCTGAATCTTATTTAGAGTCTCCAGAAGACTCTAGTTTGGGAGTGTGCTTTCCCAGTTTCCCAGAAGGAAACTGTAACTGTTGGAAATTTAATACAGCTGTGAAATATATACAAAAATAGCCAAGTAATCCCTGTACACTAACTCCTCTTCCCTTCCCTCTTCCTCACTCCCTCACACCTTCGACATTCTGGGCAATGCCTAAGTGCAGGCATGTTTTAAGTAAGCAGCTCTTAACACAAGAACTTTTGATATTCGGCTCTTTGTAAACTGGCAAACAGTGCCAGAACCAAAGCCTTCTCTTTATGTTGGGGAAACCAGATACTATACTGCTCAACAGAAAGCAAACCTTTTGTTTTGACTTTAAAAATAATGTTGGAATAATACTATTGCCAGGATGAGCCACTACCCTTCCCAATTGTCCCCTAAATTCAGCACCTGAGCTGAAGCAAAAGCCTCCAGAATCAAAATATTCTTTGCAGAACACATGTGAAATATCTATGTAGTAAGTTAAAAATAACTAAAAATATACTTTTGTGCTAAATCTGATACTACTTAATGTCAGATGTCAGATATCTGGGGCCTGTTTTCTCATCCCTAAAATGGGACAGAAATAATCTGACGGTCCCTTCCGACTACAGAAAGGGGCAGCACCGAGAACATCATCTCCTTTCTTTAAGTCCTTACCTGAGGAGAAGTAAAAAACACCAGCAATCACCAAAATCTGAAAGAGCTTGAAGTATGAGCACTCAGGTGGGGTTGTTCTCCTCTTTTGTGTTTGACCCATGGCTTCTGTTGCTTATGATGAAAAACAAAAGCGAACAGTTTCGTAGCAAGTGAGAACAGGGCACCTTCCAAGCAAGCACCAGGCTGGGACAGAAGATAATTCAGTTGCCTCAACCAGAAGATTCAGTTGCAGAACACACTGAAGAGAGGCTGATGGTATACCCAGGTCTTTAAACTTCTGAATATAAAAGACTGGGGATTTATTTTGACACCCTGAAAAGGAAGAAAATAAAAATTACCAAGGAAGGGACATCAGCCCACTGTGGGTTGTAAACCCTCCTATTTGCCTGCCTAAAATAACTCGGGGAGCCTACTCTGAGCAACCCTTAAAGCAGGCATGATGGTGAGTTTACAGTTAAGGTTAGGTGGACTCTGGGGAGGTGATCCAGCCTTGCATATGTTCTGAGAACTAAGCACAGCTCTCCCATGGAATGGCTCTCTGCTCAGTAGGAATGATCAAGACTTGATTAGAAATACAGAGAAATATAATGGCTAACCCATGAAAGTTAAGATCCTTTTCAGAACATACCAAGAAATAGACCACCAGTGAGGGTCCAAAGCACTACTTAAGTTATGAAACTACTTCTAATTTTTTTTAATTGAATTCATTGGGGTGACAATGGTTTGCAAAACCATACAGGTTTCAAGTATACAACTTAATAAAACATCATCTGTACAGAAGGTCACTACATAACATAAAAGGGACCGATCCAACAAGAGGATATAACCCTTGTAAACTTATATGCACCCAACATAGGGGCACTTAAATATATAAAGAAAATCTTGGTGGACATAAAGGGAGAGATTGACAGCAATATAGTCATAGTAGGGGAGTTTAACACCCCACTGACATCAATGGATAGATCTTTCAGACAAAAAATCAACAAGACAACAGCAACCTAAAATGACACACTGGATCTGATGGATTTAATTAATATTTACAAGACATTTCATCTCAGAGAAGCAGAATATACATTCTTCTGAAGTGCACATGGAACATTCTCAATGACAGATCACACGTTAGGACACAAAATAAGTGTTAATAAATTCAAGAAGACTGAACTCATATCAAGAATCTTCTCTGATCGCAATTGTATAAAACTAGAAATCAATTACAATAAAAAAAAACTGGAAGTGATTCATACACATGGAGGTTAAATACCATGTTATTAAACAATGAATGGACTAACAATGAGATCAAGGAAGAAATCAAAAGTTACCTGGAAACAAATGAAAATTAACAGACAACAACCCAAAGCCTATGGGACACAGTGAAGGCAGTCATGAGAGGGAAGTTCATACCACTACAGGTCTACCTCAAGAAGCAAGAAAAAAATCTCAAATAAATTATCTAACCTGACACCTAAAAGAACTAGAAAAAGAATAACAAACAAAGCCCAGAGTAAGTAGAAGGAAGGAAATAATAAAGATAAATGACATATGACTTAAAAAAATAAAAAATAACCCTGGCTGGTTTGGCTCAGCAGTTAGGGCATCAGCCTGAGGTCCAGAGAGACCCTGGTTGGGTTCCCGCTAAGGGCACGTACCTCGGTTGCAGTTTGTCCCCAGCCCAGGTTGGGTCGTGTGGGTGGCAACCACACTATGTGTCCCTTTCACATCGATGTTTCTCTCTCTCTCTCTCCCTCCCACTCTATCTGAACAAAAAATGGAAAGAATGTCCTCAGGTGAGGATAAAAAAAAATATATATATATAAAATAAAATAAAATAAAATAAAATAAAAAGACCAATGAAACTAAATGCTGGGCCCAGCCCATGTGGCTCAGTGGTTGAGTGTCGACCCATGCATCAAGAGGTCACTGGTTCGATTCCTGGTCAGAATACATGCCCAGGTTGTGGGCCAAATCCCCCCCGGGGGGGGGGCATGCAGGAGGTGGCCAATTGATGTTCTCTCTCATTGATATTTCTATCTCTCTCTCTCCCTCGCCCTTCCTCTCCCTCTAAAATCAATAAAGAAAATAAAAATTAAAAAAAAAAAGAAACCACGAGCTGGTTCTTTGAAAAGATAAATAAGATTAACAAACCTTTAATCAGATTCATCAAGAAAAAAGAGAGGACCCAAATAAATAAAATCAGAAATGAAAGAGGAAAAGTAACAAATGACACAATAGAAATACAAAGGAGTGTAAGAAAATACTATGAACAACTATATGCCAACAAATTGGACAACCTGTACAAAATAGATGAATTCCTAGAAACATACAGTCTTCCAAAACTGAATCAGGAAGAATCAGAAAACCTGAATAGATTGATTACAACTAATGAAATTGAAGCAGTAATAAAAAACCTCCAAGCAAACAAAAGTCCTGGACCAGATGTCTTCACAGGTGAATTTTACTGAACATTCAAAGAACTAACACCTATCCTTCTCAAACGATTTCAAAAAATTCAAGAGGAGGGAAAACTTCCAAGCTCTTTTTAGGAGGCCAACATTATCCTAATTCCAAAACCAGATAAAGACACCATAAAGAAAGAAAATTATACATCAATATCCCTGATGAACATAGATGCTAAAATCCTCAACAAAATATTAGCAAATCAATAAACATGATATATCACATAAACAAAATGAAGGATAACAATCATGATTATATTAATAGATGCAGAAAAGCATTTGATAAAATCCAACACCCATTTATGATAAAAACTCTTAGCAAAGTGGGAATAGAGGGATGGTACTTCAACATAATGAAGACCATGTATGACAAACTCACAGCCAACATTATACTCAACAAGCAAAAATGAAAAGCCTTTCCCTTAAGATCAGAAACAAGACAGAGATGTCTGCTTTCACCACTTTTACTCAACATGGTATTGGAAACTACTTCTTTCTTAACATATTAACAAAGAAAAACAAGTGTCTCAATTCTTAAATGCCTCTTCACAAAGAATAAATCAGCGGAAAAATCTATCAATAAAAAGGGAAGAAAATGCCCTGGCCGGTTTGGCTTCATGATTAGAGCATCGGCCCTCAGATCAAAGAGTCGTGGGTTCAATTCTGGTCAAGGGCATGTACCTCGGTTGCGGTTTGTCCCCGGCCCTGGTCCAGGTCGTGTGGGAGCAACCAGTCGATGTGTCTTTCTCTGGTCCGTGGGCCGACACACTAACCACTGAGCCAAACCAGCCAGGGCCGATGTGTCTTTCTCATATTGATGTTTCTCTCTCTCCTCTCTCCCTCCCTCCCACTCTATCTGAAGATAAATGGAAAAATATCCTCGGGTGAGGATAAAAAAAATTTAAAATTTTTTTAAAAAAAGGGGGAAGAAAAAAGAGATAACAAGCTATCCCATATTAAGATAATAGTAAATGTACTTACACTGAAGAACAATTTCTTTTTTTCCTCTTGTGTTAAAAATCAAAGTAAGAGGACCCGCTTCAGAGATGTTCTTTTCTAGGGAGCTCCAAAATGCTATTAAATTTCCTTTACTTTGTCACAGAGATGGCATTCCCCTTTCAACTTCCTCTTACTAAGTTCCCTCTCATACTTAATGAAATTAAGCGCAAGGTACGTTTAGAGCTCTATGTTTCAAAAGGAAGCCCTATGATCTCAGTCAGCTTCTTAGAGGGTGTGGCCAGAGCAAAACCACACTGTTCTCAAGAGAGCCTGGGGTAGGGGGAACATAGTTAGAGGAATGGGCTGCTGCATTTACTGTTTGGCAGTCGATACTCATGAACTTGATGGGCTGCCTGCTTCTCTGCTGGTCCCGTTTTGTTTTAGCACTCAGAGTTATCCATCCCTAGTCACAGGCATGCCACTGCAGGAATGGGCCATCCACCTCACAGGTAGTGGACAGCTTTTGGAAAGTGCTCAGCTCACAAGGCCACTCTTGATTGCACTCCCACCTCTCCATCCCACCATCTTCATGAGTGGCCTCCTGGCAGCCATGCTGGACATTGTCTCCCTAACCACAGTTGAGCTCACTTCAGGGGAGCACAGTGATAGAACCAAGGAGCGGAGTGAAGAAGATTTAGTCCCTTATCCATCCCGTTTTCACCCAGCTTGCTACCGTTATGCCTTCTCTGTAGAATTCTGGAGCATACTGTAGGTGAACAGTTAATCCATGTTGGTCCAGCTTACCTGTTTTGCATGGGTAGAACCTTATGGCACCTTACCTGGGCCTGCACTTTTATGTCTGCTGTTGGCTAGGGGCTTCTCTGTTGTCTTGGCTTGGGCTATCCTTGCAAGTTTTGCACTCAAGCCTGTGCAGCCTGAAAATATGGGGGGAGTTAATGCCCATGGGGTCACTCTTGACCAAATGGAGCTGGAAGCTGATGGATACTGCTTTCCCCTTTTGTCACCCAGGGGGGAGTTCCAAGAGACATTATCAAAACTCACTGAACAACATACCAAATGAGTGCATTTCATTACATGTAAATTGTATCTCAATTAAAAAAAAAAGCTCTCAGGCCAAGTCTGGGTCACTACAGACAGACAAAATAGGCATAACAAATCAAAATTTTGAATAGGTATATAGAGTATTAATGAGAATGGAAAAATTAAAATGGAATAAACAATGCTAAGTCACTTAAAATAGAATCAGGAAGCTGTTAAGGAAATGGGGCCCATGCACATTAGTGCCTCAGTTCTCAGAGCTGCTAATATGTTGCTAATCCTGCCTATCAAGGCTGAGCCATAACATTTTGCAACAACTATTATATGGACATATGTGGACTTAACCTCTTTGGAACCCCACTCCTATCCACCCCCACCCCACCCTCACCCCATCCTCATTTGCATATTGGAACTAATCAATCCCTGTTAACCTAGCCAGACATCCTTCATTTGCATGAAAAAATTACACTTTGTGGTTTTTGCCTTTATAAAGCCTGTCTTTCTTTGGTCACCATGGAGTATAGTTTGGGTTGCTCTTTGGATCCCTGTCTCTCTCCTTTTGTTCATATAAATGCTTTCTATTCTTACTACAGCCTGAACCTCTTCGTTGGTGAACACATATATGTTGACTCTAATGCTTTTTAAAAGTGACACTATTGCTGGCCCGTGTGGCTCTCTGGTTGAGCATGATCCAAGCACCAGGAGGTCACCCGTTTGATTCCCAATCAGGGCACATGCCAAAATTGTGGGCCCAATCCCCAGTGGGGGTTATGCAGGAGGAGACGACCAATCAATGTTCTATGGATGTTCTCTGTCATTGATGTTTCTCTCTCTCTCTCCTTTCCTCTCTCTAAAATCAATAAAGAAAAAAAATATTTTTAAAGTAACACTGTTAATTTATTTAGACAAACGTACTCTTAGAGTAATATTCTGCTGCCAAATAAATGACAAGAATTAAAATTATTCCTAGCAACCACCCCAGGAAGTACTATTATTGTCCCCTTTTATGGATGAGGGGCCCAGAAAGGAGAAAAAGGCCGTTTTTCCGAGTATTTGGATACCGAGCTGGGCAGGAAGAAACTCAGAGGCTTGGGGACCACGTGGGTTACCCACAGAGACAGCCAAGTTCCCCAGGCCGCTTCCCAGCGCCCTCCAGAGCCCGAGCGGCCGACGACGCAGGCCCTGTCGCCCGCGCTGGGGCGCAGAAGGCCCCGGCAGTGCCGGGAAACCGCTTTGGAAGCTCCGAGACCGGCCAAAGCAGACTTTTGCCACGCGGGAAGCAAAGGGTTGCCTCCACCATCAGTTGAATTTGGGCGCGGTCCCCAGGCCGGGCAACGAAGCTCCGCCCCTGTCGCGAAAGTAACTTCCCGGCAGGTCGCCCAGTGCCTCCCGCAGCCGGAAAAGACCCAGCCTCTGCCCCCCGCGCCCTGAAGTCCCCGCGGCCCGCCCCCTCCGGGTCGCGCTCCACTCCCTGCGGCCACAAGGTACCCCACCAGCGTCCTCTCCGGCCCCCGCCCCTCCCCCGGCGCACTCCTCCAGGGAGGAACAGCGCTCTGTCCGCCTCCCCACCCTTCCTCGGGGTCACCCCACCTCCTCGGGGACCAGGCACACCCCGGAACTGTGCTTCCCGGTCGCCCTCCTCCCCCGCGGTGACCAGGTGCCCCCACCCCCAGCCCCTCTCGGCGGGGCCTGACCCCCGGCCCCTCTAAAAAGAAGCAGTCTGTCGGGAAGCCGCTGAGCAACCTGAGTTTCGAATGTATAGTTCGGGGGCGAGAATGTCAACTGGAAACGTTTAGAGGAGTTTAAGAGAAAACGGCATTCCCAAAGGGGGAGGCCAGAGCAGTTACACGTGAAGGTGAAAAGGATTTTCCGACTGTCCCCACACCCGCCTGCAACTCAGAAAACACCTGTTCAGTGGAGCCAGAAGGAAATACAGAAAGGGAGCGAGGACCCTGGGAGAGGGGATCCTGAGGGACACCACTTGGTCCTTTGAAGCTCTCAGCACCGGATGGGAGCCCAGGGAGTGTCTAGAGCCTCCTCCCTCCCCCACTCTCGAATTAAAAATTGGAAATATCGAGGTCTAGGGTGGGTGGCTTGTCCACAGCCATACAACTGATTCTTGGCAGAGTCAGGTCTAGTGGCCCAGAACTTCATTTCCTAGGCATTTATAAATAATAAAGCACGTGAACAGCGTTTTACAAATATCCTGTGTGAGCTAAGAAATGCTGCACGATCGATATTGATATGCTCAATCTTCGTTTCCTCTTCTCCAGGCTCTTGGCAGCCTGCGTTCCCTGAGCCAACAGCAGTGCTACTGGGGAAGGACTCCTGGAAGCCCCAGGACTTGAACTATAAGCCCTGGGTCAATAGGGTTTAGGTAAGTGCGTGTGGAAAGAACTTGAGCCGAGGGAGAAAGTGCGTCTACCAGCCTTTACAGGTGTTTAGCTGGCCTGTGCAGTACAGGGGATGGGTCCGGTGGGGGCAGACCGGAGCGCTTTGAACTTGAGTGCGACTGGAGTGCTACAGGCAATAGGCTACAGTGGAGAACTGGAAATGCACCTGCAGGAAAACCAGGATTAGATTCATTAATCTAATATTAAGTTATATTAGCTGAGATCCTAGGACTCAAGGTATTAATCATTTAGAAGAAGAAAAAAACTTTTTTAATATTGCTGTTGAAAGGAAGGTTGTGAGGAGAAAGTATTCCGGTTCGGTAATAGAAGAACCTTTTCCCTGGTTGTATATGAATAATGAAAATGGTGCTTATGATGTGCTAAGCACTGTTCTAAGTGCTTCTCAAAAATTTATTTATTTACTCCTCATAACAAACCCAGGAGATTGTTACTATTTTTATCAGCATTTTAGAGATGTCGAGGCTGAGGCACAAAGATTGCCCCAGAAAGTAGGTTTGTGCTGAGGTAAGTGGTCTGGAATCAGAAGATTCAGGTCCCAGTGCTTCTACTCGCTTGCTGGTTGTGTGATTTTACCCTCTCTGAGCATCAGTTTTCTTATCTGTGAATGGATACTGTGATCCCTGCCTAAAAATGAGACAGAGAATGTGCAGCTGCCTTGTGAAGTGTGCATTGTAATGGAAAGTACTGTTGTTTAACTAGAGGAGGGATGCACTTCCAAGGCCAAATCCCAACTAAAAAGAAAGGATAAGCTTGGTTTGATTTGCAGAATGTAATGGGCTTGACATTCACAGGGAGGCAAAGATGGAGTGGTAGTTAAAATAGTGGGCTTTGGGGTCAGATGGAATCTGAGCCATGGTACTTGGCTCTGTGACCTAAGACAAGTCACTTAGCATTTCTGAAATGGAATGATCTCTGTAACGCTCATTTCACTCATCCATAAAATGAGCCTAATAATACATTCCTCATAAACCAGTTGTGAAGATTAAATGAGGTGCACTTAATATAGTGCCTATATATAGTGAGTGCTCAATAAAATGTAGATAGGGCTATTATTTTTTTCTTATTTTTCTTTCTCCTTGTCCTCTGTGTGTCTTAATTTCCCCCTAAAGACAGCCTCACCATGTGTGGGGGACTGATTGAGAAGTATGTGGCCGCCATGGTGTTGAGCGCAGCAGGAGATGCCTTGGGGTACTTCAATGGGAAGTGGGAGTTCCTCAGGAATGGGGAGAAGATTCACCAGCAGCTGGCCCAGCTTGGTGGCTTGGATACCATAGATGTGGAGAGGTGGAGAGTCAGCGATGACACGGTGATGCATTTGGCGACGGCAGAAGCTCTTGTGGAAGCTGGGAAAGTCTCAGACTTGAGTCGACTGTATTCCCTCCTTGCTAAGCATTACCAAGACTGCATGGAAGACATGGATGGCCGGGCTCCAGGTAAGGGCAGCCAGTGGAGGTCCTGGGCAAGTGAAGAATAAAACAAGCCCAAGGAAGTCATTAAAAATGTTGATTGAGATTTACATATCAAGGAGATAGTAGTTTTTATAATTGTGATAAAAATAGGAACAACCTAATTGTCTCATAAGTTATTTAATTATGGTGATATATTTATAGCCACTTAAAATTATACAGATAAATATTTTCAGATATGGAAAGATATTATATATTAATTAAAAGTTAAGTAGGCCCTGGCCAGTTTGGCTCAGCGGGTAGAGTGTCAGCCCGCAGTCCAGAGAGAACTGGGTTTGGTTCCCGGTAAGGGCACGTACCTTGGTTGCAGTTTGTCCCTGGCCCTGGTTGGGATTGTGTGGGTGGCAGCCAATTGATGTGTATCTCTCACATTGATGTTTCTCTCTCTTCCTCCTCTCTCCCTCTTGCTCTATCTGAAGATGAATGCAAAAATGTCCTCAGGTGAGGATAAAAAAAAAAGTTAAGTAGGTTACAAAACAGGATTATTTTATGAACCCACTGTTAATAAAGGATATAGGTATATCTGTTGGGAGAATTCTGGAAGAGTATACACAAAAATGTTGATAATTATATCTGGGTAATGAGAGTATTTATAGTTTCTTATTTTCTTTTTGCTTATTTGTATTTTCTAAGTTTTCTGTAATGAACAAGTATAAAGAAAACATTTTTTCTTTTTTAAAAAAAGAATGGAAAGTATCTTATAGAGGCTCCTTTTCTGTTTGTAGGTCAACTCACAAGTGGTTCTTGCCCACTTTGGGAAATTGTTACAGCCACTTGGGCCACCAGGTGATTTGAATGACCTTTTCCCTACTCCATCTGAGCTACCTCTCCTCTTGTATTTGTCAGCTTGAGCTACCATAACACAATACCACAGACAGGTGGCTTAAATAACATTTATTTTCTCACTATTCAGAGGCTAGGAGTCTGAGATCACGGTGTCAGCACATTTGATTTATTCTGAGGCCTTTCTCTTTAGCTTACAGACAACTTCCTTATATCTTTGTCCTCTCACAGTGCACATACCTGGTGTCTCTTTGTGTGTCCAGGTTTCTTCTTATAAGGATCCCTGTTAGATTGTAGTAGGGCCCACTCTAATGTTCTCGCTTTAACTTCATCACCTCTTTAAAGGTCCAGTCTTTAAATACAGTCACATTCTTAGGTACTAGGGGAAAGGGCTTCAACATATGAATTATAGGAGACACAATTCAGCTTGCAAGCTGATGAAAAGCACCTCCTGATGAAAATCCCACACACACACCCAGGGTCTCTGGTGACCCCAAAGACTGGCCTTAGAGGCCAGTCTGCTCATTCTTTCTTAACATCTGGTATCTCATCAGTTTGACAAGTGGAAAGTTTTCTTTGTCCATATAAACCTTCCACTACCTTGTTGTGAATAAACTGACCACAGGGGAACAATAATGCCACACCCCACAGTACATTACTGCCATTGCTTGATTCGTGTATGCATTCACAGTTCCTGGTAGGATAAGGTGAGGGACAGGCCTGATTACACGGCTCTCATATAGTGGGGAAAACCAAGGGCACATGTGGCCCAGAACCCATTGCTTTGTCCCTAAGCTTAGCACTCTTTTTTTTTTGACAGAACAATTTTCTTTTATTTAATTTATTTTTGTTACAGATGTTTCTCCTGTTTTCCCCATTGACACCCTCCTCCCCATCCTCCCCACCCCGTCCCCAGCTTTGTTGTCCGCGTCCATCGGTTATGCGTACATGCATATAAGTTCTGTGGTTTATCTCTACCCTCCCCTCTCCCTCTTCTGAGGGTTGTTAGTCTGTACCCTACTTCCACATCTCTGGGTCTACCCTGTTCCTCAGACTGTTATGTTCATTATATTCCACAAATAAGTGAGATCATGTGGTATTTGTCTTTTTTGCTTGGCTTGTTTCGCTTACAATAATACTCTCTAGGTCCCTCCATGTCCTCTCAAAGGATAAGAGATCTTTCTTTCTTAAAGCTGCATAGTACTCCATTGTATATATGTACCACAGCCTTTTTATCCATTCGTCTACTGATGGACACTTGGGTTGTTTTCCAGATCTTAGCTATTGTAAATAGTGCTGCTATGTACATGGGGGTACATATATTCTTTCTGATTGCTGTTTCAGGCTTCTTAGGGTAAGCCTAGCACTCTTCACTCTAGAACTGTGTCCTCTTTCTGACATTTGGAAATTCCAATGGCTAGGTTCTCATTAGGTTCTTTAAGGCCTTGGGTTTGGAGCATGAAGGTTTTGGTTTTTTTTTTTTAATCCTCACCCAAGGACATTTTTACATTAATCTTCAGAGTGAGGAAGAGAGAGAGAGAGAAACATCTACGTGAGAGAGACACATCAATCTGTTGCCACTCGCACAACCCCAATCGGGGTTGGGGACGAACTGCAATCGAGATACGTGCCCTTGGCCGGACCTGGGACCCTTTGGTCCGTGGGCGATTGATTCTCTTACTGCTGAGCCATACCAGCCAGGAGGGAGCATAAAGGTTTCGATGGAGCCACTAATGAGCTGGTTATGTGATTCGAGTAAGGTTTAACTTTTTTGAGTAAGTTTTATTAAACTCTGAGCCTTAGCTTACTCATTTAAAAAAGAGAATAATATGTTATACCTACCTTTTTGAGTTATTGTGATTTCTCATTAGTAACTGGCAAAGGCTCTCTATCTGAGTCTGCTTTTTTTTGTTATTAACCTAATCATTCTAAGAGTTTTATGTAAAGTAAGGCACGGTGTTGGCTTGATGTTTGGAGTTTGAGGGCATTCATCATCATATTTTTTTGGTTTTTCATTTCCATCAAAGAAACTTGGGAACACAGCTTGGTTCTTTCCTCCTACTGGAGCCTTTGCTTTGGTTACACTGACCCCTGCCTTTCCTGACTCTTCCCCAGGTGGTGCCTCCGTGCAGAATGCCATGCTGCTGAAGCCAGATGAAGCCGATGGCTGGAGGATTCCCTATAACAACCATGAGGGAGGCTGTGGGGCTGCCATGCGGGCCATGTGCATTGGTCTCAGGTTCCCTCACCTCAGCCAGCTGGACACACTGATCCAGGTGAGCATCGAGAGTGGCCGAATGACCCACCACCACCCCACTGGCTACCTGGGAGCCCTTGTGTCTGCTCTTTTTACAGCCTATGCTGTGAATGGCAAGCCTCCCCAGCAGTGGGGAAAAGGACTGATGGAGGTGCTACCAGAAGCTAAAAAGTACATTGTCCAATCAGGCTACTTTGTGGAGAAGAATCTTGAGCACTGGTAAGTTTGTAGGTGCATGCTCCTGCTAGAAAATGGTTGCATGTGTGTGCAAACATGCCTGTGTATGCCTAGATTTTTTAGATCATAGCAACCATCATGGTTCTTACCATCCAGTTTTATTGTCCAGTGCAGCCCGCCCCCTCCTTGCCCACCTGCTAAGGATTTCAAGTTCAGTTCCAGCAGTGGATGCCACCAGGTAGCCAAGTGAAGACCTCAGTGAGTAGTGAGCTGCAGTGCTTCCCCTATATATAGGGATCCTGTTCTGTATTCCCACTTTCTATGGTTTTTGTGGCTATCCTATACTGAGATGAACTTTCCTGTTCATCTCCAGGAACGTGGGTTTTTTTAGCGTTGTCTTGACACACAGTGTTGTGAAACCCTTGCTTAGAATGCCCCCAAAATTGTTTTTTTTGCTAGCTAATTAGTAGGTGTTAAAACCACACCTTCCCCTTTTTCTGTGTTACCTTCATTTTGCATTTCTCAGAACAAAAAGATCCAGAGGCTTTCTGCTGAAAACACCCATGCTCATGATATTCCAAAGTTCCCTTTTGGGCAAAAATAACAACTCTAACCCAGCTAGTGTGGCTCAGTAGACTGAGCATCATCCAATGAACTGAGAGGTCCTGGTTGGATTCCCAATCAGGGCACATGTGGGGCATGCAGGAGGCAGCTAACTAATGTTTCTCTCTCATTGGTGTTTCTACCTCTCGCCCCGTCTCCCTTTCTCTCTATCTAAAAAAATCAATAAGAATATATTTAAAAAAAAACACCCAACAACTCTATAAGGAGATAATGTGTTAATTAGTTTGACTGTAGTAATCATTTCACTATCTCTCTCTCTCTCTCTCTCTCTCTCTCTCTCTATATATATATATATATATATATATATATCAAATACATTATGTTGTACACCTTAAATATATATAATCATTATTAATAAAATAAGATGAAATATATAAGGACAGACTAAATAAAGTTTTCCCCTTGAAAGGTGATATTTGACATTATTCTCAACTCAGGAAAAACAAACCTTTAATTCTCACCTTTACCTTGCTATATATCTTTTTAATTTAACAACAAGTCTCAGTGCCTTGTTTATATCAATCTTCAATAAAAATTTATTGAATGACTGTACTTAGAGCTCACTTTGATTTTTTTATATCATTTATGATAATACAAGAAGTTGAAGTCATCTTAGAATTTTCCCTGTTCACACATCCATCTGGTACCTTTCCTTATGGTTATCAACTTTTTCTAAAAATTATTTTTGTTACAGATATTTTTCCTTTTTTCCCCATTGACAACCTTCTCCCCATCCCTCCTACCCATCTCCAGCTTTGTTGTCCATGTCCATCAGTTATGCGTACATGCATACGTACATGCATACATGTTGTGCTGTATGAGCACTCTATATATTTTGGAAATTAACTCCTTATCTGATGTATCTTTGGCAGTTATGCTCTCTCATACAGTGGGTTTATATGTGGTTTATATCTTCCCTCCTCCCCCTCCCCCTCGTCTAAGGGTTGTCAGTGTGCACCCTGCTTTCATGTCTCTGGGTCTACCCTATTCCTCAGACTGTTATGTTCATTATATTCCACAAATAAGTGAGATCATGTGATATTTGTCTTTCTCTGCTTGACTTGTTTCACTTAGAATAATACTCTCCAGGTCCCTCCAGGTCCTCTCAAAGGATAAGAGATCTTTCTTACAGCTGCATAGTACTCCATTGTATATATGTACCACAGCTTTTTTATCCATTTGTCTACTGATGGACACTTGGACTATTTCCAGATCTTAGCTATTATAAATAGTGCTGCTATGAACATGGGGGTACATATCTGATTGGTGTTTCAGGCTTCTTAGGGTATATTCCTAGAAGTGGGATTACTGGATCAAATGGCAATTCAATTTTTAATTTTTTAGGTAACACCATAGTATTTTCCATAGTGGCTGTACCAGTCTGCATTCCCACAAGCAGTGCACTAGAGTCCCCTTTTCTCCACACCCTCGCCAACACTTGTTTGATGATTTGTTGATGGTGGCCATTCTGACAGATGTGAGGTGATACCTCATTGTTGTTTTAATTTGCTTCTCTCTGATAATTAGTGATGTTGAGCATTTCTTCATGTCTCTTAGCTATTTGTATGTCCTGTTTGGAGAGGTGTCTATTTAGTTCCTCTGCCTATTTTTTTTTTTTTTTTTTTAATCCTCACCCGAGGACATTTTTCCATTTTTTGTTCAGATAGAGCGGGAGGGAGAGAGAGGAAGAGAGAGGGAGAGAAACATCGATGTGAAGGGACACATCGAGTGGCTGCCACCCGCACGACCAACCAGGGCCGGGGACAAACTGCAACCGAGGTACATGCCCTTAGCGGGAACCGAACCCGGGTCTCTCTGTACCGCAGGCCGACACTCCAACCGCTGAGCCAAACCGGCCACGGCCCTCTGCCTATTTTTTAATTGGATTCTTTGTCTTCCTTTTGTTGTGCTGTATGAGCACTCTATATATTTTGGAAATTAACTCTTTATCTGATGTATCATTGGCAGTTATGCTCTCCCACACAGTGGGTTCTGTTTCCATTTTGATGGTTGTTTCTTTTGCCGTGCAGAAGCTTTTTATTTTGATGTAGTCCTATGTGTTCATTTTCTCCTTTGTTTCTGTTGCCTTAGGTGATGTATCAGTGAAAATTCTGCTGCGTATGATGTCCGAAATTTTGTTGCCTACATTTTCTTCTAGGATTTTTATGGATTCACAAGTCACATTTTGAGTTTATCCATTTTGAGTTTATTCTTGTGTATGGTATAAATTAATGGTCTAGTTTCATTTTTTTTGTATGAAGCTGTCCAATTTTACAACACCATTTATTAAAGAGGCTGACTTTATTGTATGCTCTTGCCACCTTTGTCAAATATTAATTGAGCATAATGTCTTGGCTCAATTTCCAGGTTCTCTGTCCTCTTCCACTGGTCTATATGCCTGTTCTTGTGCCAGTACCATGCTGTTTTGATACAATAGCTTTATAGTATAACCTGATATTTGGTATTGTGATCCCACCTACTGTATCCTTCTTTTTCAAGATTGCTGTGGCTATTTGGGGTCTATTTTGGTTCCACATGGACTTTTGAAATATTTGTTCTAGTTCTTTGAAATATGTTGTTGGTATTTTGATGGGGATTGCATTGAATCTATAGATTGCTTTGGGTTATATGGACATTTTAATGATGTGAATTCTTCCAATCTATGAACAAGGTATGTGCTTCCAGTTTTTTATCTTTCTCTATTTTTTTTTCAATGTCCTGTAGTTTTCTGAAAATAGGTCCTGTACTTCTTTGGTTAAATTTATTCCTAGGTATCTTAAATTTTTTTTGCTGCAATGGTAAATGGGATTGTTTCTTTAGTTTCTCTTTCTGTGAGTTCATCATTGGTGTATAAGAATGCCGTTAATTTCTTGAAATTAATTTTGTGCCCTGCTACTTTACCAAATTCATTTATGAAGTCTAGTAGATTTTTGATGGAGTCTTTGGGGTTTTCTATGTATAATATCATGTCATCTGCAAATAATGACAGTTTTACTTCCTCCTTTCCACTTTGGATCCCTTTTATTTTTTCTTCCTGTCTGATTGCTGTGGCTGACTTCTAGTACTATGTTAATTAAGAGTGGCAAAAGTTCCTGTTCTTAAGGGAAATGCTTTTAGTTTTTGCCCATTGAGTATGATGTTGGGTGTAGGTCTTTCATATATGGCCTTTATTATGTTGAGATATGATCCCTCTATCTACACATTGCAGAGTGTTTTTATCAGAAATGTGTGCTGGCCCTGGCCAGTTTGGCTCAGCGGTTAGAGCGACGGCCTGCGGTCCAGAGAGACCCGGGTTCGGTTCCCGCTAAGGGCACGTACTTCGGTTGCAGTTTGTCCCCGGCCCTGGTTGGTCGTGCGGGTGGCAGCCACTCGATGTGTCCCTTCACGTCGATGTTTCTCTCTCTCTCTCCCTTCCTCTCTCTCTCTCCCCTTCTATCTGTACAAAAAATGGAAAAATATCCTCGGGTGAGGATAAAAAAAAAAAAAAGAAAGAAATGTGTGCTGGATTGTCAAATGCTTTTTCAGCGTCTATTGATATGATCATGTGGTTTTTATCTTTCATTTTGTTTATGTGGTGTATTACATTTGTAGATTTGCGACTATTGTACCAGCTTTGCATCCCTGGGATGAATCCCACTTGGTCATGGTGAATAATTTTTTTGATGTATTGCTGAATCCGATTTGCTAGTACGTATTTTGTTCAGGATTTTGGTATCTATGTTCATCAGAGATATTGGCCTGTAGTTTTCTTTCATTGTAGTGTCTTTTTCTGGTTTTGGAATTAGAATTATGCTGGCCTTATAAAACTTGTTAGGAAGTCTTCCTTCTTCTTGAATTTTTTGAAATAGTTTGAGGAGAATGGGTGTTAGTTCTTTGAATGTTCGGTGAAGCTCCCTGGTGAAGCCGTCCAGGCCTGGGCTTTTGTTTGCTGGGAGAGTCTTTATTATATCTTCAATTTTCTTAGTTGTTATTGGTCTGTTCAAGTTTTCTATCTCTTCCCGGTCCAGTTTTGGGAGACTATGTGTTTCTAGAAATTTGTCCATTTTATATAGAATGTCGAATTTGTTTCCATATGTAATAGTTCATAGTATTTGTTAACAATCCTTTGTATTTCTGTGGTGTCAGTAGTTACTTCTCCTCTTTTATTTCTGATTTTGTGTATTTGGGTTCTCTCTCTTTATTTCTTGGTGAGTCCAGCTAAGGGTCCATTAATCTTTTTGAAAAACCAGCTCTTTGTTTCATTAATTCTTTGAATTGTTTTTTTCGCGTCTATGTCATTTATTTCTGCTCTCATGTTTACTTTTTCCTTCCTTCTACTTGCTCTGGGGTTTTCTTTCTATTTGCTTTCTAATTCTTTAAGCTGTGAGATTAGATAGTCAATTAGAAATTTTCTTGTTTCTTGAGGTAGGCCTATAGTGCTATGAACTTCCCTCTTAGAACTGCTTTTGCTGCATCTCATAGATTTTGTGTTGTTGTGTGCTCATTTTCATTGGTTTCCAGGAAGTTTTAATTTCTTCCTTGATCTCCTTGGTAACCCATTCATTTTTTAATAATATGCTCTTTAGCCTCCATGTATTCAAATGCCTTTGCATGTTCTTGTTGCAATTGATTTCTAGTTGCATGCCATTGTGATCTGAGAAGATGCTTGATATGATTTTAATCTTCTTGAACTTGTAGAGACTTAGTTTGTGTCCTAACATGTGGTCTATCTCTGAGAATATCCCATGTGCACTTGAGAAGAATGTGAATTCTGTAGTTTTGGGGTGTAATCCTTTGTAGATATCTATTAAATCCATGTGGTCTAGTGCTTCATTTAGAGTTTGTGTTTCCTTGTTAATTTTTTGTCTAGAGGATCTATCCAGTGATGTCAGCGGGGTGTTGAAGTCCCCTGCTATGATTGTATTGCTGTTGATTTCTCCTTTGAAGTCCTCCAGAAGATTTTTAATATATGTTTGTACTCCTATATTGGGTGCATATTTGTTTACCAAACTTATCTTCCTAATTGATAGATCCTTTCAATAATATGTAGTGACTTCCTTTGTCTCTAGTTATGGCCTTCATTTTGAAATCTATTATATCAGACATGAGTATTGCTACACCAGCTTTTTTTTCCTTTCTGTTTGCTTGGAAGATTTTTTCCCATCCCTTCACTTTCAACCTATATGAGTCTTTTGTTGTGAGGAGGGTCTCTTGTAAACAACATATATATGAGTCATGCTTTCTTATCCAGTCAGCTACTCTGTGTGTTTTTATTGGAGCATTCAATCCATTTACATTTAAGGTGATTATTGATATGTACTTATTTATTGCCATTTTTGTTTAGTGTGGTTATATTTTTCTTCCTATTTCTTCTACTAATTACAGCAGTTCTTTTAACATTTCTTACAGTGCTGTTTGGTGCTAATGTATTCCCTTAGCCTTTTTTTGTCTGGGAAGCTCTTTATTTGACCTTCTATTTTTAATGATAGCCTTGTTGGATAGAGTAGTCTTGGATTCAGATTCCTGTTTTTCATGACCTTGACTACTTCATGCCATTCCCTTCTGGCTTGTAGTGTTTCTGTTGAGAAGTCAGCTGAGAGCCTTATGGGGCTTCCTTTGTAGATAACCTGTTGCTTATCTCTTGCTGCCTTTAGGATTCTCTCTTTGTCTTTAATTTTTGGCATTTTAATTACTGTGTGTCTTAGTGTAGGCCTGTTTGTGTTCTTCTTACTTGGGGCTCTCTGTGCTTCTTGAACTTGAATGCCTTCTTTCTTCACCAAATTAGGAAAGTTTTCTGTCACTATTTCTTCAAATATATTCTCTAACCCTTGCCCTTTTTCTTCTTCGGGGACTCCTACGATGCGAATATTATTACGTTTCCAGTTGTCCCACAGTTCTCTTAAGCTGTCTTCCTGTTTTTTAATTGTTTTTTTCCTTTTGGTTTTTTGATTAGTTGATTTTTTTCTACCCTGTCTTCTCACTCACTGATCTGGTCCTCAGCTTCCTCTAGTCTGCTGTTTAGTCCTTCCAATGTGTTCTTTATTTCTTCTATGTCATTCTTCATTTTTTCTTGGTGGTTTTTCACTTCCAATTGGTTGATTTTCAATGTTTCTATGTCTTTACTTATGGTGTTGATGTCCTTACTCATGCTGTTGAGCTTTCTCAAGATCATGGCTCTGACTTCTACCTCTGATAATTTGCTTAGCTGCATTTCATTTATCTCATCTTTGGTAGAGGTCTCTGTTCTTTCATTTGGGATTTGTTTCTTTGTTTCACCATTTTGGCTATCTCAGTGGGTTTTGGAGCCTGCCAGATTTTCCCTGTGGGTGTTGGTGTTCTGCTCTTTGTGGCTCCCTCTACTGAGTTTGGATGAGGACGCACGTTAAACACCACTGTCAAGTCTTACTTTCCTGGGTAGATTTGCAAGCCCAGGAACGGTTCAAGTATCCTCTAGCTCTGTGCCTGGAGGCTATTAATCATGGTTACTTAAAGAGCCTTGGTTTCTCGGTTGAGTGAAACACTGCCTCAGGTATTCCGTGTAAGAGGATTTCCTGAGGGTGGGGCAGATGCTGGTTGTTAATGAGCCTCAATTTGCATTTCAGTGGCCCACCTGAGTGGGGTTTACTCTACAAGGGAAGGGTCACTGCTTCTCCCCAGAGCCCCGGAGCCCTGGGAAGGAGTAAGATGGCCACCATCCTGCGTGGCTGCAACTCAGCAAAAGCTCTGAGCATCCTCCAAATCCTAGTGTCCCCACACAGTTCCAGTCCTGTTCGCCCTCCCTCTGCCAGAGCCCAAGATGAGTGGCTGTGGCTATTTTAGCACTCTGTCCTGGCCTTCTGTGCTGTGGAGCGGGCTTGGAATTTTAACCCCAAGGGCGCTGCTCACAGCTAAGACCGCTGCTGTCCGTGGGTTCCCAGCCCCCCTCTTGTGCCTCCGCAGTCTTACCATGATCGATTCAGTGTCCATGGTTATGTGGTCCTCGCAAGCTGCTTTTCTGTTGCTTTTTCCAGATGATTTGACTTTATTTTAGTTGTAATTCCAGTTTGGTCCTGAGAGATGGTCTGTGTAGCTTCCATTCACTCTGCCGCCATTTTGGAATCAGTTATCAACTTTATTTTCTCAACTGACTGTAGATATTTTTTCTTTCTACAGGTCCTACTTCCAAGACCAATGGGAGAAGTACCTAAAACTTAGAGGGATTTTGGATGGCAAGTCAGCCCCAATCTTTCCCAATCCCTATGATGTGAAGGAGAGGGATCAGTTCTACACCTCTGTGAGCTACTCTGGCTGGGGTGGCAGCAGTGGACACGATGCCCCCATGATTGCCTATGATGCCGTCCTGGCTGCAGGAGACTCCTGGAAGGAGCTTGCCCACCGAGCCTTTTTCCATGGTGGAGACAGTGATTCTACGGCTGCCATTGCTGGCTGCTGGTGGGGAGTGATGCATGGTTTTAAAGGAGTGAGTCCCTCTAACTATGAGAAACTAGAATACAGAAACAGGCTGGAAGAAATAGCTAGGGCTTTATATTCTCTTGGGTCAAAGGAAGATCCTGTAATTGCCCGTTAAGGAGAGATGATGTTCATTTCTGGTGGTTTTTTCTCTTGTGTAGTCCCTTTTCTGCTGAGCTCTTTTTTTTTTTTTTTTTTCACTTTTTCCAAAGTTTAGAGTCATAACCTGTACTCAGGGAATTTTGAGATAACAAGTCCCTTGGGCACCTGAACCTTAATCTTCCCAGGTTCATTCTGTTCCCCTGAATCTATCTGTTTTCCTATCCTGAAGAGTCTTTATCTCAGTTGATGGGGTCGGCATCTCCCAAGCTAGAAATCTCATAGCCTCCTATTTGAGTCTTTGTTTTCATCAGCTAATCCTTCACTGAATTTTTACTGTTGTTTCTGGTTGGGTTCCCCCAAAAGTGGACTCTGAGACAAGGATTTGAGTATAAGTAGTTTAATTGAGAAGTGATTCCATTGAGCACTGGTAGGATCATGGGGAAGTGAGTCAGGGAAGGGAGAGGTGGACAGTGTAAGGTGTGGTAATGAACAGGTTACTACGGTCAACAACTGGGACCCAGTCCACCTGGATCCTCTTTGTAAGGCATTCCTCATGGTTGTCCTGAGGGACAAGCAAACCTGGGGTATTTACCCATCTACTTCCATCTGACATTGGTGGTCCTCACTACTAAGTCCCTGGTGCTTCTTTTTTTTTTTTTTTTTTTTAATTTTTTCTTTATTGAGTTTAGAGAGAGAGGAAGGGAGAGGGAGAGGGAGATCAAAACATCAATGAGAGGGAAGATCGATTGGCTGCCTCCTGTATGCCCCGTACTGGGGATTGGGCCCACAACCGGGGCATGTGCCCTGACTGGGAATTGAACTGGTGACCTCTTGGTGCATGGGTCAATGCTTAACCACTAAGCCACACCAGCCAGTCCCTGGTGCTTTTTAGCCTGCCTCCTGTGCAAGCCAAACACCAACATCTTCAGGTAACGTCTCAGAGATGCTTGCAGTGGCAGGCTGCAAGGTGCATGAACCGTGAGCAGCAGTAGGTGTAGGGTTCCAACAGAATTTGCTAGACGATTCTGTCTCCTAAATATCCTTCAAATCTATCACCTCTTTTACCTTTTTGCACCAAGTATTTTTCACTTGGATTTCTGCAATCCAAGCTACTCTAGTCTAGGGGGATGCTGCTCCTGGGCATGGTGCTTAACATGTTATTAGATTGTTGTTGCCTATTTCTTTGTCTTTATTCTCCACTAGACAGAACCTAGCACACAGAAAATATGTAATCAGTATATATTAAATGAATGTTATTAATTAGCCTTCTATGTCCTAGTCTTGCCTTCTTCATTGCCCTCCAGAGTTATATTTACAAATAACAAATTGGTCATGCTGAACTTCTAATCACGTTCAATGAATACATCACCCCCTCTCTTCATTTCTGATGCTCTTTCCTCTCTGTTTTTACCTGGTAAGTTTGTACTTATCCTTCAAGCCCCAGCTCAGGGAAGACTTTCTAAGTGAAAACTGCAAACCTGCTCCAATTATTCAGGCACAATCCTTGCTGGTTTTCACAGCCAGAAATTGTGGAGACTTCTCTTCCTGGCACTGGGACCCCTCGTTCCTCAGGGGGCACCCCTGTAGCTGAGGTATTTCTCCCAATTTTTATTTTTATCCACCACACATGGGTATGAGCCCAGCCGGATTTGCATTCTGTCCCTCCTACCAGTTTCTGTGGCGCTTCTTCTACATATCCTTCGATATATTGACTTCCATTCAGCTAGATTTCAGGAGGTTCTAATTCTGAATGATGGTTTTTCTGTAGTTTAGTTGTAATTTTGATGTGGTTGTGGGAGGATGCAAGTTACCTACACTGCCACCTCAACAAGAAGCCCCTTTCCGAAGTGAGAAAAGCCTGCATTTGCAAGGCTCCGCACTCGAATTCTGTCAGCATTGACCCAACAGCAGACCTGAGATGCTTAAATCTTACAATATAGAAAAGGACAGATGAGTATATTTTAACAAGTGGAATGTGAGGCATGTCTTGTTTTGTAACTGGTTTGGCGAATGGTCTGCATGAGAAGAAAACATGAAATGGTGTTATTTGCCTCGTGCATCCTGTTTTGAAGCTGCTTTTCCTGTCTCTCAGCCAACTTGGGCAGATCACACAGATTTTTGGTCTTGGGGTTGGGGTGGGGGAGTATTAAAAATGCAATCCAATTCATCCCAGTCTAGTTTTTATTTATTTTATTTTTAAACAATTAAAAAAAAACATTTTTTTTCTTTATTGATTTTAGGAAGAGAGGAAAGGAGAAGGGGGAGAGAGTTAGAAACATTGATGTGAGAGAGACACATCAATTGGTTGCTTCCTGCAAAACCCTGACTAGGGCCAGGGACCGAACTGCAACTGAGGTACGTGCCCTTGACCAGAATTGAGCCCGAGACTTTTTGGCCTGTGGGCTGATGCTCTAACCGGTGAGCCAAACTGGCCAGAGCAGTTTGTTTTTTTTTGTAATCTCAGCTTTATTGAGGTATAATTGACATACAAAACTTGTAAGATATATAAATGTGTATGTGTGGAAGGATCTCCTCCATCTAATTAATGAACACTCTTATCTCCTCACATATTTATCTTTTGTGTGTGTGTTTGAGAACATTTAAGTTCTACTCTCTTAGTAAATTTCAATTATACAATACAATGTTATCCATTATAGTCACCATGTTTAAGTCAAATCCTTATACCTTATTTATCTTATACATGAAAGTTTGTACCCCTTTGCCAACCTTTTCCTATCCCCCCACCCCCAGCCCCTGGCAAAAACTTTTCTACTCCTATCTATCGATGAGTGTGATTTTTTAAAATTCCAAATATAAATGATACAGTGCAGTATTTGTCTTTCTTGTCTGGCTTATTTCACTTAGTGTTATGCCCTCAAGGTCCATCCATGTTGTTGAAAATGGCAGGATTTTCTTCTTTCTCATGACTGAATTAGATAGATAGATAGATAGATAGATAGATAGATAGATAGATAGATATAGATACACACACGTAATGGGGTATATATATTTATATCTATGCATACACATATATGTGAATGGATAAATAAAATGTGGGATTATTTTATATATCTGTTCACCTGTTGAAAACACTTAGGATGTCTCCATATCTTGACTGTTGTGCATAATGCTACAAGGAACATGGGGTGCAGACAGCTCTCCAATATCCTGTTTTCATTTCATTTGGATATACACCCAGAAGTGGGAATCCCAGTCCAGTGTCATCAATCCTAAAACTTTAATGTCATGCCCTTCTTTCTCCTCACCGTCAATCCTGGGCCCAAGAGACTTAGAGGAGAAATGGGGACATGGATGCCTCTTTTATTCCTCCCCTCCCTCTTCTGGGGCTCCTTGCTCCTCTCTGTGTTGCCCTGAGACCAGCCTCATGGGTGAAAGGCTCAAACCAGCTGTCTTCTGAGGAGTCCACTCAACATGCGGGAAACTCATCCTTCCTGGTCACAGCGACCCTATCTGCCGCTGTTTTTACATCTCCCACACCCTGCTCACATAGGCCCTGAGGACAGATCAGGCTGCCCAGCAGACGGCTAACTTGGAAATAGATGTCACTATCATGTCACTATCATTCATGTGGTCACCCTCAATCTCAGCTGATAGACCCTCCCTCAGTTGGCTTGTGAAGGGGGTAAGGAAGAGTACCACCTTCTCTCCCCCCTCAGGAAGGGAAGGGAACCCTCCCCCCCAAAACTATGACTCATGACTTTTCCTACAAATCCCTGGTTTTCAGCTGGTGGAGGTGCACCTGTTGAAGGGAGGTCTGATCACAGAGCAGTTCTGCTACCTCCTAGTATGTCCTACAGCAATTTGAATTAAGAATTAACAGAAGACTAGTGGTTTTAGCATGCATACATTTTCTGAGGAACCCTCTGGAATGGCTGAGTCCTTGGCCCAGCCCCAGAGACTCTCATCAGTGTGTCTGGGGTGGGTCCAGCAATCTATCCCAAGTTCCTGGGTGATTCTGAGGCAGTGGGTTCTGAGTGGGACCATTCCAGCCCCACTCGGAGAGCACCATAGTAGATGATGAATGTGAAAGGGACAGTGCTCTCTAAATGTCAGCTGTATTAATGCCACCCATAAGGTGTGGCTGGGATAATTGGCCTAATGTCCCAGCTCTGGCCTTGATGAACGAGCTCTGGCCTTGTTGTGGGTGGCCATTGTGGAGAACAGAGTTAGCATGACTGACTCCATCTTGAGTTTGAACCTTATTGTCTGAAAACATAAGTCTGGGCTGACAGCCAAATTGTGGGCTGCTAGCCAAGGAGGCAACCAACAGGTGCAAGTGATAAGGATGACTAGGCACCTATGAGAACTTAGCCAGATATTTTGATTCAGGACTTGGAGGACTAGTCTAAGAAGACCACAGGCAAATCTAACAAGTGCAGAAGAAGGGGCACACCTCCATAAGAAGGATAAAAATGAAACTAGAACCGCGACACTTGCTATTCGCCCTCTTGTGAATGAGCCAAGCTGACTGCTCGTGTGTCTGGCTTGGTGGCTATTGAATATTCCTGGGCCTTGCTGTCTCAAGTTGGTCTGGCAGTCTTCCTTGCAAGGCATGAACCACCTGGACACCGAGGCTTCTGCGACTCTGAGTGACCAGTGGTCACTGCTCTGCAAATAGCCCGGACCAGAGGATATTTGTGACACTTGAACTTTCACTTCATTAACCCCCAATACGTGTGTGTGCGCGTGTGTGTGTGTGTATGCTGATGTGTCTATAATTTGGATTAAACCTGCAAGTAATAAAAGCTAAGTTGACAGCATGGTCACCTGTGTTGGCTCACTGTTGTTATTGGTGTCAGGAACCTAGAGTGCCAAAGTGACCACGTAGGGTCCTGGCCATGCATAGGCATCCCTGATACTATCTGGGGGTCAAGACATTAAGTGACTTATAGGAAAGACTGTACTCACAGCCAGATGCTCTCGACCACCATGAAAATGCCACCCTCAGCCTCCTGCTGTGAGGAACCTAATCTTTTGACGGTCTCAGTTGCTACCTTTCTGGATCTTCCCTTGGTTTTTGTGCTGAGTCTGACCCCATCTAATGACTGAGCAGGATGGAGTTGCTAATACTGACTCATTCCCGTTATGACACCGGACTGTTGTAATTGGACACTTCAGCTTGAAGATTCCCCATTGCCCTGGCTGGAACATTCTAGGCAATCCAAGACTCTTTCTGTGTAATTTTCTCTCTTTCTCCCTCTCCTTCACAGGTGTCAGGCCTGCATCATGGTCTACAGGCTCTCTCTGCCTTCTTTGCTTCCCTTATTCTTCACAAGTGCTATCCCCAATAATTCTCTTGCACACCTAGTTCCATCTTGGCATCTTCTACTCTGAGGACCTGAACTAATACACCTGACTTGGTCTCTGACATCAGAACAGCCTTCAGCAGTGCCCTAGTTATTGCTACGCTCCTTCCTGGTGGCAGCAACGTTTGATCAGTGGGATCATATGCACGAGGAGAAGTAAGGGCTGGCCCCTCCAAAGTCATTTTATCCTCGCTTTCTGCAGGCCCGGCACAGCCACGTTGGCATGATACCAATGCCTCTTCAGGGATTGTTGTTGTCTGGTGCAGTGGTTCAGAACATGGTTCATTCCCTTCTCAGAGCTATTGACCAGAAAGTTA